TAACTTGTCCGAACAATACGACTTATAGCAAGCAAATCGTTCCAATGGAAACAAAAACGTTAAGCAACCTCATCGGGAAAATGCTTTGTAGCTTTGGCGTCCCGAGGAATTCCTCGATATCGTGTCGTCCTTAACTGACGAGTTCCATCCGAGACGAGAGAGGAACTTGCAGGAACGTCCTCTCGTCTGCACCATGAGCTCAGCGATCATCGCTGGCTTCATTCTGTCTGAAACCATCAGTTGGTGGAGAATGTTAAGTCTCGACAACAGGCATCAGGGACGATGTTGTGTTCGCCCTTGATGTACCGTCGTTCAAGGCCGTATTCTTCCAGAATAAGGCGCCATAGCATTACGCGATCGGTATTGAAGTTCTTACATGTATGATTCTTGTGGTCCGTATGTATAACAATCTTCTGTCCTAGAATAATGTTACGGAACTCTTTAGAGTTTCTACGATACTGAGAAGGAACTTCTCAGTAACGGTGTAGCGTGTCTGAGCAGGGGTGAGCTTCCTGCTGTAGAACGCGATAGGTTTTCCCTTCTGGTAATTTACTGCACCTAGTTGAGTATCACTACCATCCGTGTGGATAACGAAAGTATCATTGAAGTCAGGGTAAGAGAGCAAAGTTTCTTTGCTCATGATCTTCTTCATCTGTCTAAATGCCTTGTCGTGTTCAGCTCCCCATTTCCACTTCGTTGTTTTTTAAGTCAACGAAGCGAGTTGTTCCAGTACATGTGATCGTCAAATCCACATGTCTCGATAGTAGCTCACTAGTCCAATGAATCTCCGAAGTTCTATTACTGTAGTTAGGAGGAACGATATTCTGGATCGCGTCTATTTTCTTTTTTGTTAAGTGGATCCCTTCTCGATAAGTCCATAACCATAAGTATTCAGCTTCTCCTCTTGACAAGAAGGACTATGGAGCATGACTACAAGTCCGGCTTCTCGAAGCCCTCGGAGAACTTCATCCAATGAGCGAGCTGCCAGATCGCTGTTGACTTAGGAGAGTAGAATCATCAATGTATGTACGTACGTATTCTAGGTCTGGCATTAGTGTTCCCATCTTCTCTTGGAAGATGTCGGGACTATACATAGGCCCATTGGCAAAATCTGGTACTCGTACTTTCCCCACCGATTTGTACAAGACAGAGTTTTTTCGTGAGTGTACAGCTCGATGTGATAGTTTCCCATTTTCAGGTCTAGACTAGTATGTGGCGTATTTGAATCCGTCTAGATTCAAAGGCATGTCCTGTATTTTTTTGGGATAGGATAAGGTTTCCTCTTAATCCTTTTGTTTAGCTCCCGGAAATCAGAGAATGAATCGTACAGAACCATCTTTCTTGGGAATGAAAAAGTTGGTGCCGCCCACTCGGAACTGGTCACCTTCTTGAGTACTTCCTGCTTCGCAGAGACGTACAACCTCCATCTTAAGAGTGTTGATATGGACATACACGTGAATAGGATAAGCCCTAGCGAGATAGGGTTTAGCGTCAGAGAGGAGTTCTACTTCGTAGTTGTCCATCTGCCACTTTCTTAGAGTGCCATCGAATAGTGTCAGAGTAACTTCCGTTCAATAACGATGAAGCTGTTCACTAGCTGCTTCCTTATTCAACTGAATTTGACTTTGGCAAACCTCCCTTAAGTCAGCTTGTTCCTATTTCGCATCAAGAATCAAGAATCTTCTTGAGAAAATCTGCACTGTCATCGACACCGGCAGGATCAGGAATAAGAAATCTCTTCTTCATTGGTGTCGCTGTTTTTCATAGGAATAGATATACCGTCCCACTCCACTGACATGTAGTGAAATCGAACTTAAAACCTAAGTAAGAGAGAATATCTCGACCTATGATCATGTCTTGCGCCCTCAAGTTCTTGGGGACGTGTAAATCCCATTCGATAATTCTATCATCCTGGAACTCAGGAATCACAATTCACCTTTGCACTTCGTGCTGTGTTTAATTCTCCTGCAGGGGTAGTCCACATGGTTTGGACGCCCCCAAGATACTTCATGTGTAATTTCTTAGCATGAGGTTGAACAATCAAAGTCGGACTTCCCTGATATCCAATAAAGCAACGGAGTGTACGGGTTTTGGTTTCCCTTTTTCTCTCGCTGTTAAATCTAAAAACATAGACGACTAAGTTAGGTCTCTTGTCTTGCTATGTTTACGAGGTGGTTGCCACGGACGAGGTTAACGATGCAAAATAGATCATCAGAGTCTCTAGTTGACCACTCTATGGCAAATCATCTTATTTGCCGTAGTTTTCATCGGTTGCAAACAAATCTGTTTTACTATTTAGTGAGATAAATTCATCACTTAGGTATGAGAAACGGAACATGGTTCGGTTGAGTCATCATTCTGGCTTAATCCTCAGATAGAGATTCTCCATCCAAGGGATTGAAATCGATAGAGGAATTGTCCTCATTGTCAGAAACTTCTGATTTGCGCTTGACAAAATGGTTGCGAAGTTTTCAATTGGTTGCACGAGTATCTTCGATCTCTTTTTCTTCGTCATTGTCGAAAAGAGGAAGAATGGGTTTGTCACCAATTGTTTCGAAGTGCCAGACGCATGCTTTCCCCTATGAGCACTTCATGGTGAGGAATATTTTGAGGGTAGCTGAAAGTTTTTGTGTTTGTTAACAAAAATGCACTACGCTAAAAACAAGTGTAAAGATCTTTCAAGTATTTTGAGTTTGAAGAAAGAATAAAGTATGCAGAGAGATTAGACAACTATGAAACAATCAACGATGAGAAGATCACCATCAAAGGTCGAGATCGGTCCCCGCGGGAGAACTATAAGAGTGTGATAAGAGTTAGTTGTTCGGTAGAATCCTACGTATCTCCACGATCCAAAACGGAACGCGTGGAAAATCGTTAGCAAATCTAAGTAGCGTGAAGTACTCCGACGCTGGCTAAAATCTAGAGCACGATGTTCATCATCAACCTAGTAATGACTAGAGCGGTCATATGAGAACCTTCTCAATGACTATTAACAGAGAGACTCAGTCATGAGTCGAACTCAAACCCTATCTAGGATCGAGTCGCGAATAAGGCTAAGAGCCGTGTATTGCACAATCTACCGATAATGCAACAACAAACAGCCAACGCCTCGACAATGGCTGGATGGAAACAACCAGCGGATCAATCGATCACCTCTACGATGACTGCTTCCAGTACGGAGCCTCTTTCATGTCGCCTCTACCGTAGCGGCCGCGAACCCTGGCGACAAATGCAACAAGCAGAGCTACCGGTACTCTACTACTGTGCTGAGAGGTCGACTTGATGTAATGCGTTTGTACAGTCCGATCACCCATATCAGCAGTCTTGTATCGAAGCATTCATGCTGCTCGATCGTGTCCATGCGACTTGGCCTTCGTACCATACCGGTACCGGTAGTGTCCACGCCACGCTCTGTCTCGTGAATTCACCCCACCAAACATTAACCCCAACCCCCTACAGACCACTTTTCGCCACCTTACAAACACAACACTAACTTCAACTTTACCTCTTATTTTACTTTACCAGTTCTGGAGCTAGAAGTCCCCCGATTGGCGATCGTGGAAAGTCGCGAAAGTCGTTAAAGTCGCGAAAGTCGTTAAAGTCGTGTCCAAAGTCGCGTCAAAGCTGCGAAAGTCGTGGTACAAGTGGTTGAAAGTCGCGATTTGAAACTAACAAAATGCTGGTAAAGTCGTAAAAAGTCGCGAAAGTCGCGATAAAAGTCGATCCAAAGTCACGCGACTTTCCAAATTCGCGAAAGTCACGAAAGTCGTGCGACTTTCGCGACTTTCTAAGGAAAGTCGTTATTTGATGTGTCGGGGGACTTCCTAGTAGAACGGAGCAAGCTACGGTACCAGTACCGGTAGAAGACAGCTGTCGCTTCTATGCATACTACTATTGAGACCTCCAAAACACTTTACAATGGCATTGACTCGGCCGAAGAATGGACATTTGACGACAACGAGGCTTGTTATCTCGTACATGTTTCTTCGAGCGTAGGAAGGCAGCAGTGGTTGTTGCTAGCTGGTACCGGTATAGTGTGGCTACCAGCAGGGGGGAAAACGGAGAATCAAGCCTAGCTGAATTTCGACAACTAACTGATCAGCAACGGCAACAAGACGAAAACAAGACGAGCTCTTGGCGACAACGATGGCGCCGGAACGCTGCCGAGGGATAGTTCGAACAACAACAAAAAGAGGCGTAGATCATCGGTATCAAACGCCGCTGCTCCATACTGTCTCTTCACGAGCATCCAAACATTAGAAGCCAGCGTTAGTGTCAATTACCGCACTAAGCACTTCAAGTTGTTTTCCTCGGCACCATGCATGCCACAGTACTGAGTTTCTCGGTCAAAGCAAACGCAACAATTTAGTAACGTTGGCATTGCTCAAATCGCAACTCTATGCCATTGCCACTAACGTAATGTCAGGCCATCAAGAAGGGGAAGAAGAAGTTGTCCATACGGGTAGCACAGAGGTCCGATGACTCCCGTGGAACAGAAGAAGAAACGGACACTGTTGTTTTGGACAATCTTACGAATTTGGAAGTTGCACAGTTGGATCGTCTCAGCCATCCTCCCTTGCCACCCTGGCTGTGCTGTTGGTCTTCTCACTCTGTTGTTTGTCTTGCACTCTTGCATCGTTCCCTCCTCCTCTGAAACCTGTCCTCACAATAACTATCAATCTTACAACCCCAGGTTTTTGGCTCGAAAACACCTTATCCTGTGAGATTTACGAATTTCAAATAACCAAAATCAAAAAGAGGGGGTTTAGAGTAGTCTAGGTAGATTACTATGGAAGCTATGCAAAAGTCATATGTTTTGGTTTGTCATTACTATTCACAGCCAAAGGCTGGCTTACTACGTTTGGGCTTGCACCTTTATTAAAAAGTTAACAAAATCTGTAGCATAGAATCACAGACTTGGCAATATCAAAAGATCCATCTGTTCCAACTAAAACGTCAATGATGATTTCAGTGAAATTACTCTCCCTGGTAACTGTGCCGGGTTCTTCAATACTGACATAGGAGTATAACACATTTTCCGTTTCTGCCATCAGAGTGATCCATCCAGGAATCTTGAAACCATCACTCCAACTGTCAGATACAACCAGTCTGTAGGCTGTGTCAATGTTCACAGGGAAGAGAGAGGAGTAAAGATAATCTTTAAACTCCAGTGGACCCACTGATTCCATTGTGTCCCAGATACCAGTCACGTTGGTTGCCTTCTGCCAAACCCATGATGCTTCTTCTGGATATCCGTCAGTATGGATGTTCAGCATGACAGCAAGACCTGTGGTTGGAAACCGTCCAGGCCAAGCAGGTGGAGCTTTGAGGTCGGCACAGGTGGCAACAAGAGGAGTTTCATTTAGGGAACAATCACACAATAGAAAAGAACAAAGATGCTCCGGCACAGTTCCCGATAACTGATTTCCATACAGTTTCAATCCCATTGATGCATTCAGTTGGCTGGGCAGTGTTCCTGTCAGGTTATTGGTATGAAGACGCAAAGATGTCAAAGATGTCATCACACCAATTTCAGTCTGGATTGTTCCAGTGAACTGATTGTCGGAGAGGTAAAGCTCTTGCAACGACGTCAAGAGAAAACGCTCCGTGGGAACTGAGCCAGTGAACTGGTTGCCATTCAACCGCAGCTTAGTTAAGGCAGTAAACTCCCCAACCTCTGAAGGGACTTGACCAGTGAGCTGATTTCGATTCAAATTTAACCATTTCAAAGCAGTCAACTTTCCTAGCTCAGAAGGAACTGGACCAGTGAGCTGATTTTGATTCAAATATAACCATTTCAAAGCAGTCAACTTTCCTAGCTCAGAAGGAACTGGACCGGTCAAGCGATTATCATGCAACTCCAGCCGGGAGGAAGCCATCAAAAGGCCAAACTCGGAAGGGACTTGACCAGTGAGCCGATTTCCCCCCATCACTAACCATGCCAAATCAGTCAACTGTCCAAGTGCAGAAGGAACTGGACCAGTCAACCGATTAGTACGAATATCAAAACTGCTCATGGAGGTCAGGAGAAAAAGCTCTGAAGGAATCAGACCAGTGAACTGATTAGTATCAAGACGTAGCCGCTGCAATGAGGTCAGGAGCCCCAACTCGGAAGGAAATTGCCCCGTCAACTGATTTCGATCCAGGACAAGTTGTTTCAGTGAGGTCAGGAGCCCAAGCTCAGAAGGAACATGACCAGTCAATCGATTGCTTGGCAAGACTAGTCCGAGCAATGCAGTCAGTAGTGCAATTTCAGAGGGAATTTGGCCTGTTAACTGAACCCTCTGCAATTGCAAAGCTGTCAATGAAGTCATGTGGTACAGTTCTGTTGGTAACAGAGATGAAATTGGTCCGGCAATGATATTCCTGCTAAAGATGTCTGAAAAAAACAGAACATCCAAGGAAGTCAGGAGCGCAATCTCAGGTGGCAAAGATGAGATATGACCAGAGAGGTCCAATCCCTGCAGATACAGACGTGTAAATTGTCCTTGGATGTTGCAGGGAAGTGTATACCCGACACCCAGCTCTTTGAAATCGTAGAATATCCCTAAATCGTTGTCAAACCATCCAAACCCACTGGAGAACCAGTTACACTCTTCCACTGTGTCATCCATCCATCCGCGAGCCTTTATCAAAGGATGCCAACTTTCTCCCTGAAAAGCATAGAAAAAAGTAGCTAGGGCAAACAGCTGTGTCTTTCTCCATTCTGGCAAGTGTGTGATGTTTTGGTGGTTGGCTAGCCAGTTCCATGCTCTCCACTGCGGGGTCTCACTGCCATTGTTGATGCCTGCCAAAGTGTAGTCTGGAAGGCTATCCAACAGTATGTCCAGAGCTCCAGTGGGGGCCGAGGATGGAACTTCTGATGGTTCCATGGATCCATAAACTGTTGGAGCCTCAGTTGACTTGAGGACAACCACATCCGGATACTTGTTCTTTTGGGTCCCCACCACAAATCCCACAACAATGGCAGCAACCAGTAACAGCCAAAGAAATGCTGCAAAGAAACAGTTCTGTTGCTGCTTTCTCTGGAGTGCACGTTGCTGGGCGGTTTCCAGATCAACCGGATTGGCATGCATCAAATCAGCTGTATCATCTTCTACAGCATTAGCATGTACCAACCCTTCATTTCTTGTCGATGTCATCCGTGCTACAGTATCACCACTTGAATCTTGTGGGCCAGGACCAGGGCCAGAATTAGCACCAAGAAGGCCATAGTTTAAATTGGGGTTCCGTTGCATCCGTTGTCCTGGTGCACCCAGGAACGCACCTGGCTGTGATTGTGGCTGCATCTGGGTTGTTCGCCACAAGCCAGCTTGCGGGACAGCATCTACTGCTGTGGGGGGCTCTTCCGTGTTTCCTGGCACAGTATCTTGTTGTTCCCTCACGAGAGCGTCTTTTTGCGCATCGGATGGAACATCATCATTTGTGTTGGCATTAGCCGCATTTTCTTCATTTTCCCCCATTTTGGCGGCTTCATTGATTTCTTTATTATGGAGGTCTTCTTTGGCATTGAGACGTTCCACGACTGCCGAAGTGGCCCGGCCAGCCACAATTTTCATTATTTCTTCTTCTCTTGATTCACTTGTTTCCGTGAGGACCTCTACCGGTGCACTATCTGGTTGTTGCTGTTGTTGTTCGCGCACAAGAGCTTCTGTTTGTGCGTTGGAAGGAACGTCATAATCGTTTGTATTGGCGTTGTTAGCTGTATTGGCAAACTTCTCCAGTTTGGCAGCTTCATTGATTTCCACTGCCAACTGCATGAGGGTCTCGATGTTATCGTCAGTGTTTGGCGTTTCTTGATTATGGAGGAGATCTTCTTTGGCATTATTGAGACGTTGTGTGGCTGCCAAACTGGTCTGACTAGCGTCTTCTGATTTGGCTCTTGTCATCAGCGCATCTCTGACGGCAGAGTCCAGTGACAGTTCTTCTGCAGACACAACACTCCCAACCTGAGAGTGACAGTCTTCCTCATCGGTTGCGCCACGACCAGTGCTCTTTCCCTCTTCCATCCTGATAATGATACTAGCTAGTAATCGACGGTTGTTCTCCTTTCTTGAGAAAGTCGGCAACCACTGTATTGTGAGCCTGGGCTAGCTAGCTTATGAGGAGGTTACCTTAGCTTACAGTAGCTTGCGTTGTTTGTTGTGTTGTTGAGGTCGATCGATGGCTTCACGAAAAGGATCCCCTCTACATAGACTGGGAGTTATGTAGACCACAGTATTACGTGCGTAAGAATGATAAGAGAGGTCACCGTGCCGCATACCGTACCGGTAAGTTCAAAAGTGGGTTGAAGGCCCGCTGCATGCTTGGTGCTCGTGTTGCTGCGGAAGCCAGCGTTACGGTCAAGTAACGCTACTTGTACACGGAAGCACGTCAAGTTGTCTTCCTTGGCGGAAGAGCTTTTCTAAAAAATAAAAAGGGTTAGACTACCAGAAGAAAAGAGTTTTTTTAACCATACTCTTCCAGTAGGTCCGCAATCATTCCATACATAGCCGCACGATGTAACCTCTTCCTATTTTACTAAAAGGTTCATTCATACAGTAGAAGCCATGTCATCCAATCACAGCCTGAGCACTTCAGGCTGTCCAAATAGCACAAGTAATGCTACCCCTTCTGCATGTTCCTTTGAATCCAATCTCACCCACAATCAGTTCCAAAACACAGGCCACGGGTACTAGCTAGCTGGCTAGAAGAGTTCGGCTGCTTCTTCGATTGGTACATCCATGCCTTAGAATAATACATAAAGTTTTATAAAAAATGTTCCAAAATGCTACGAGTGTCAAGTGTCCAGCAATATCACTCGCCTCACTGGGCAAATGACATGAAGCATCAAATCAACAATGGATGCGGCGTTTGCTTCTAGTCTCGCTCTGCATGTGCACGAATACAAGGAAGTCACCCAGAAACACACACACACAAAAGATGGATGAGTTGTCCAGCTCTCTTTTGCATTCCCCATACACACGAAAATGCGGCAGACGCACTTACTAACCATATCGATGTGCTTCCTTGGTGGGTTTCTTGGTCGGTCCGGATTTTCCTTCTCGCCATACGACTCCACCGGGTGTGGACACTTCCGTGGTGACCAGGGTTCCTTCTTGTCCCGACAAAATTCTGGCGGCATCCTTGAGATCCCCAATGGCCGCCCAGGCTCCTGGTTTGGCATTGGGATCCGTGACAAAGTCGACGGCGGCCTGAATTTTGGGTCCCATGCTACCGGGGAACGCCTTGCCCGCCTTGGTTCCCAGCAAGTATTCCGGTGTCACCTTGGACATTTCTCGTGCATTGGGTTTTCCAAAGTTTTCCCAAATACCACCACCATCGGTTAGAATAATGTATCCATCCGCTTGTATTTCGGTACTGAGTTTGGCACCACAGGCATCCTTATCAATGACGGCTTCGACACCTTGCAGTGTGCTGGGGTTGGACGGAATTCGTGCCACGGGAACACCTCCTCCACCACAGGCAATGGGCAGCACGGGATTTCGCGCATTGGGCTCTGTGGTTTCCAACAAGGCTTTTACGGCATCGAGTTGCAAAATTTCAAGGGGCGCGGGAGAGGGCACGACACGACGGAAATATTCTCCATCGGGTTTGACGGTCCATCCCAACGATTGTGCCAATGCCTGTGCCTCCATGGCACCGTAAATGGGACCAACAAATTTGGTAGGATTGGAAAATGCTTCATTGGACGAAGAATCATCGACAACGACTTGTGTCAAAATGGGCACGGCACAGCATCCCGCACTGGCCAGTGCTTGTGCCAGGACAAATCCAATTTGACCCATGGATTCGGCGCCTTTAGTTAAAAATAAAACAGAAATGATAGGAAAAGGAAATGAAAAAAAACAAGGAGAGCAAAAATTATGAAAGTTAGAAACACGATCACAATCTCTTTCATCCAAGAGAAAACTGGAATTCTCCCAGGAAAGAAAATCATTTTTGCGATCCAAACAAACTCACCCAAAACATCCAACGTGGCGGCACTTCGTTCCAACGCCAATTCTCCCACTTGCGGTCCATTTCCATGCGTCAATACGAGTTCGTGATCTCGTGCCAATTGCGTAATGGTGGGCGCCATATCGGCGGCTGCCTTGAGCATGTTTTCAATGGTCAATCGTTCTCCTCGTCGTTGCAAGGCATTTCCGCCAACGGCCACCACAATACGTTGACGTTGCTTGGCAATGGCAGTGGGAGCATCGTCGGGATGAACCTCGTCGGCGGAATCGTCATCGGATGCTTGGCTGCTAAAGAAATTTTGTTGATTAGGAAAATTAGCAGTGGCGGTATAGACAGTGGGTCGACTGGTAGTGGCCAGAATGGTTCGGGCCGTAGTTTGACGCGCCAAAGCACGGGCTGCAAAGCGAGATACCAACATGTTTCTATAGTAGTAATTTGTAGAAGTCAACAGAGGATTTCTTTGGAAGAGCAAAACAATAAATGGCCAGAACCAAAAACCTTGTCGTCGGTCGCTTTCCTGTTCCACTGAATCCAAGAGGCGTCAACTCCAAATTTCAAATGGTGCAGTTTCAGCCAATGGTTCTTTTGTTATCTGGGGTATATACCCTCTTCATTATCTCTATTATAAACTGTATTATCATCTGTTTACCCCTCCTAACTTCCACCACCTCCAAAGATACCCTTCGTATGACGTCACCTTTCATCCATGGATTCTCGGAACCCTTGGATCTTCCGGATCTTTCTCGCAAATGCAGCCTACACAGCCACGAAGCCCATTGAATAGTCATCACGCTACCCACCCACATCATGCAACGGCAGGACTTCAAGAAGTACAGTACTTCGTAGAAACAAGCCACAGCAAGTACATGTATGTACAAAATTGCATTTTCAGCTTATCCAACGCCGAAAGTCCAAGAAAACTGTGCTGGTAGGAGTTGACACCCCTCTGTAGTTTAGTTTTTGGTTTCTTTGCTTTCTCACAATTTTCGGTTCGTCTCCATTCTTTTTG